CAATTCCACAATAATAACAAGGGATCAGAGCTGACCTGAAGCATGAGCAAATTAAGCGGGGGACCCCAAACTGTACTGAAAATGTGGGCGTAATTATTCCCTTTAATAATTAATTTTGAGAAAATACATTATACTTCATTTTGTAATTGTTATCAATTCCGTAAATGGTTGTCAATTGAGGTGACAAGATCAGCCATGAAGATCAGAGAATTGTAAGTGATAAAAAACCTTTGTATCAGTTCCTATGCTTTTGTAATGTACATTCACAAACTGTATGTAATTGTTGCTGTGTACATTTTTTTTGCAAATGAAAGGGTGGGTGGGAAAGAGGGTATTATTAAATTCAGTTTATGGCCTCTAGAAAGTTTTGTGTCTTGTCTTTTCTGGTTAGAATTGCTTTTTGCAAAACCACGATAACTCCAAAACACAAGTAGAGCAGCAACAAGTCATTAACACATTAACTCTCACCCCAATGCGTACATAAGTATTACATAATTGGAAACAGATCAGTCTGTATTTGAGTGTTAGAGATCTTCTGAGTTGTAGAATAATAGCCAATACCAAAAACAATAATATAATGCCACATGTATTTCAGTTTGTACTCACTGACATCCTTAGAAAAAAATTCCGGACGCTAAAAATATGATGTATCCCGAGAAGAGTCTGGATGGATACGGTGGCTGAGAAGTGCAAACGAGAATTACAAAGTGTGAAACACTTTGACCAAGCTTGAGACAAATTTACATTTTATAAAACAAAATGACATTAGCAAAACACTTTTACCAAAGAAAAAAACAATTTAAGGCGAGACACCCCAGGTGAATAGGGTAATTTTTTTTAACTTAAAGATATCAGCTAGAAATGTCTCCAGTTAATTACTTACAATAAGGCAAATGTTTTTTGTATTACAAGTTTTCTGAAATAGCATGTTTAAATATGCAAATGACTATTATCTCGTGAAATATGCGCATATTTTAACACATTTCAGGAATCAAAATCTGAACTTTGGATAAAGCCAGGATCAAAATTATTGTTTCATTTTGTAGTCATATTAGTATCTAAGGCTTTTACAGAAGGGATTTTGGATATCTCTTTGTATCACTCCATAAATCAGAAAATACTGTCAACAGCCCTAAAATATCAATTTTCACCATGTTTTTATGTATAAAATGTTATATAATTCAGGCTATGAATTATATATGACCAAACCCTTCTGTAAAAGCCTTCATACTATTGATAGGAATATAACTGGAAGGTTTGGTGTATGTAACTGCTACTGAAGTGGACATTTCGAACTCAGAGTAGGAGAAAAAACTCATTTTGAGAAAACGACCTTTAAAGATTGCAGTGTGACGCTAGCTAAACCCTCCTGTTATCTGGATGATAGCTTGCGCATCGACGCACTCCGTGAAGGTATTTCATGTTCGGGGTCATTTGTTTTTGTATAACCTTGCTTTGTGCAAGTGGCAATTGTTGTCGTCTTCTCTGTGAACGTTTTTTTCGCCATTATTTTGCCATTTTCAGATTTAAATTTCTAGCGGAAAGCTAACCAGGAAGTGCTTTAGCACACCACGTGACGCATCTGAACGAATCACGTTGTCAGAAATTGACACCAGCCAATGAGATTTCGTTTCTTGGTTTAAGACCCCTTTGCACTTTCACGATTGGTTGCTGATACAAAGGAAATAACCATATTTGGATCCGATGAGATTGTGCAGGAGAGACGGAGCTTTACAACGATACCTCTGATGACATGGTGCAAACAGCGGTCGCGGTACTTTATGTTACGTTAGAATGCTAACTTTTGGTGAATTTAGGAGAAATCTACAGACGCAAATAGACAAACTATAGTAAAATAAACACTTAAATGTGTATTTTGTACGTTTTCCTTCCAAAAGCCTGAAAGAAAACATGTTATGGAATCAAAATAGCACAAAATCTCAAAATTGACCAGTGCAGGAAAAACGATGCCTGCCGTGTCTCGCAAGACAAGATGCGAAACACTTTTACAAAGCTAGAGACGCATTTATATTTTATAAAACAAAATTACAGTTTATAAAAACAAAATTACATTTTATTACATTTTAGCTAAAACACTTTTACGAGAACTGAGACAAATAAAGTCCCAAAAGACTTTAACATTTGCCGAAACACTTTAACAAACTAGAGAATCAAACCGGAAAGGGAATGTCCATCATACCAGAAGTGACGTGCAAGTGATTGACACAAACTTAAGTTTGTTTTGGCTGATAGACCGCCGGTACCTATGGACGGTATGAGTGTGTTTATGGTCGTTAAAAATGTTTTGTCCATTCTGTGGAAACCACCTGGGCCAAGTGACACGGTTTTACTCATCACGATATACTTTCTCGTGCGCACCGGTTCGCCAAGTAGGAAGTGGAGCTGTGCCCTTGCACCGCCTTCGCTGTGTTTACCTTCAGTAGAACAGCTAGAGAGCGACTGCAGGCTGCTTCATTTTAACCACACACACCTCTATACACATCGAACTGCCCGATTATTCCCCTTATTACTCGTTTTATGAAGGAGATGTCCGGTCACCAAGGCGCATGATGTGTGTGTTTGCGCTCTGCTCAGCTCCAATCTGTGTGTGTATGTGTTCGGTGTATCCGACACCGGCATTTGTTTTCAAATGACCATGAACAGTAATTTACACACATCTGGCCAACTCCATAGGTATATGTGTGTGTTCCCAAATTAAATAAATGTGTTTAATCTTAATCTCGATGTAGTGCTCAGTGCTGTCGGAGTGCACCGGAACGAACAACACTATCATAATATCTTCTGAAAACAAATGGCAGTGTCACACACACACGCCCTGGTGACCGGACATCTCCTTCATAAAACGAATAATAAGGCGTAATAATCGGGCAGTTCGATGTGTGTAGAGGTGTGTGTGTGTGTGTGTAGATGTGTGTAGATGTGTGTGTGTGTAGAGGTGTGTGTGGTTAAAACGAAGCAGCCTGCAATCGCTCTTTAGCTGTTCTAATGAAGGTAAACAAAGCGAAGGCAGTGTGTAAAAGGCACAGCTCCACTTCCTACTTGGCGAACCGGTAACTTTCTTGTGCGCGAGAGAACGTATCTCGTGCGCACGAGAAAGTATATTGTGATGAGCAAAACCGTGTCACGTGGCCCAGGTGGTTTCCACAGAACGGACAAAACATGTTTAACGACCTTAAACACACTCGTGCCGTCCATAGGTACCGGCGGTCTATCAGCCAAAACAAACTTAAGTTTGTGTCAATCACTTGCACGTCACTTCTGGTATGATGGACATTCCTATTCCGGTTTGCTTCTCTAGTTTGTCAAAGTGTTTCGGCAAATGTTAAAGTGTTTCGGGATTTGTCTCAGTTCTTGTAAAAGTGTTTCGCTAATGTAATTTTGTTTTTGTAAATGTGTCTCTAGCTTTGTAAAAGTGTTTCGCATTTTGTTAATTTGTTTTTGTTAATGTTAAATTGTTTTTTTCTTTGGTAAAAGTGTTTTGCTAATGTAATTTTGTTTTATAAAATGTAAATTTGTCCGAAGCTTTGTTACAAAGTGTTTCACACTTTGTAATTCTCGTTTGCACTTCTCAGCCACCGTATTGATGCGCATAAAAGCACAAACTAAAGGTTCCTGAGCAGAGTTATATATACGCTTGCTGTGCTGTTCGGGGTGTCCGCGTGGGTGGAGTTAAACCATATGCTCATCAGGCACACACATATCACCGCTTTTACGCGCGGTGCCGAATTCCAAAACGAGCACCACCATGTGTTGATTGATTGATTGATTGAAAAGTTTATTAACAGCTTGTATATTGGGTACAGTACAGTACAGCTCAAAACATACAATTGTTAAGGGGATGCAGACCAGAGAAAGACTTTCGTCTTGTTTACATCAGGGTCCCCCATTTCCAATTCATCATATCATTTAAGACATATAAGACATATATGACATACAGATGGCTTATTTACAATTTACATACAGGTGGTTTTTTACATACAGATGGATTATTTACAATTTTCATTTTAGATTTCGTTCTAATACATCCTAACCGGACATTTAAGACATACCAAGTCTACAGATATACAGTTAGTAACAGAGTCTAAAATGCGAGTATATACATAGATGGGGGGGGGAAGCTGTCCATTGTACGACAGGTTGAGATTTGTACCATTACCGGGGCCAGTTTTGCAATGCTTTCCCCCGAAGGTGCTCTTTAAGAGAGGTTTTGAAGGTAAGTATAGTTTTACTTTCCTTTACAGTTGTGGGAAGAGCGTTCCACCTTGATGTGGCATAATTGCGAAACGTGTATTCCCCTTTTTTTGTGCCAAATCTGGGTTTTACATGATTTGTGGAGCTCCCTCTGGTGTTATGATCATGGTATTCCTTGACCTTTGGGAAGAATTTTGACATGTACATGGGTACCATAGAGGTGTAGTGGATCTTGTAGACCAGGCCCATTGCAAGTAGCTGTACTCTGTCGTCTACTCTAAGCCATCCTAGGTTGTCAAAGTGGGCAGAGGTGAGGTGGGTTCTAGATGAAAGGTCAAGCAGTAGTCTGACCAGTTTATTTTGCGATGTTTGAAGTTTTATTTTTAGCGCCTTGGAGGTGCTATGGTACCATGACGTGCAAGCATAGTCATAGTACCCTTGAATGAGTGCTCCTGCCAGAGTTTTCAGGGTGTTTTTGTTTACCAGAGAGGAGATCCGGTATAGGAATCTAGTTCTTTGATTGACTTTTTTTATTACATTGGATGCCATTTTGTCACAGGAGAGGTTTGCCTCAAGAATAGATCCTAGGTATGTAATTTCCTTCTTACTTGTGACAATAATGTCACCCACTGCAACTGAGAAGTCGTCGGATTTGCTGAGATTATGTTTCGAACCGAAGAGAATGGACTCTGTTTTACCCAGGTGTAATGATAATTTATTATCGGCGAGCCAGGTGCAGATTCTGCCGAGCTCGGAGCTGAGCGTTGTTGATATGGATCGGAGTGTTGTTGTTGATATGTGAAACCTTAGCTTTTAGCCACATCTTAATGCATCATGGTAAAGTAAGGGGTTTGCTTTGATGACTGGCAGCGACTTGTGAGCCACTGCTTTACATTTTAACTTCACAAACAATATACAGCGTACATGTTAACTTGACGTTACGTGGTTATAGTGGTTTTTGTTAGAAGTGAGGGCAGTTTGTGGGTGTTGCTAGCTAACCTAACGTCACTAACGTTAACTTAAGCAAGCTAACGTTAGCTTAGCGAGCTGTCTGTTTTCAATTTCACCGTTACATTTAGACTCTGTTGTTTCAAATGTCTAACGCCACGGAAATGATCTTGGCACCCGAATGGGACGACGAAGAGCGGATGAATTTTATGTTCTCGGACTTCAATGAGAACCGAGATGTCAACACCACGGACTGGGACAGTAAGATGGACTTCTGGACGGCTCTGATTGTTAAAGCCTGCCGGGACCGAGGTACCGTGTGTGTCAGCCTGAAGGAGCTCAACAAGACCTTCAGGAGGAAAGAGAGATCCCCACTGGGCTTGGCGACTGTCATCCAGTCCATGGCCAGGTAAGAGTGTCAGTCACAGCTGGGTGTCTCTCTGGATCGATGTAGTTAAATCCTCTGTGTTCTTACCCTTTTCCAGATGTGGGAAGATCCAGAGGGAGTCAGAGTTTGCTGCCAACATGGACTGTGGCTGGCTGTCCTGGGGTGTGGGCCTGCTGCTGGTGAAGCCTCTCAAATGGACCTTCTCCACCCTTCTGGGAAGCAGCCAGGTGTCTCTGGAGGAGTCCTTTGTTGTCATTGAACTAGTGAAGGTTTGTTAAACTTCCTGATTCCTGAATTTGATCATGATACATGAGACACTATGATTGTGATGCTTGTTTATGTTATGGTAGTAGTAAAAGGCTGTGTGTTACACTACACATACTTTCTTATATTATTCTTCCTTCAGTTGTAGGTGCTAATTTAATAATTTAAACTAAACAAAGCATGCATCTGAATTAAAACTTAAACTTGTATGGGCCCTTTAAACACAGGTCAACCTAATGCCACTCTGAATGCTTTCTCTTTCCTTATCACGGGTATTACAACCAGACTATAAAAGTTATCATGGCAGCTGCTATATCTAAAGATAGTTGATTATTTTATTCAAATGACCATGAGACCATAAAATCCAGATAATGAAGTACAGGAAATGTTTCAAAAATAATTGACAACAACAAGCATAGTATGAGCAGTAAACTACTAACCAATGAGTGGATAACACTAACAAAAGTAAAGAAACACATGAAAACACTATGATAAGGAAGTCTGAGGGGGAATTAGAAATGTTTGGGTTTGAAAAAGAGAAGATGATTAATCCATTTGAGAATTCATTTTGAGGAAGTTGAAAAAATAAAATGATGATGATAGAGAAAGAAGCAAGAACATACATTTATAAATGAACACACATATTTGATGAAAATGTATCTTATATACTTAAATAATGTTCAGTACAGTGGAGAGACTTTATATAGTTTCCAATCTTCCATTTTGTTTTCCAGGAGAAAGCAGCAGAATTACTCAAGGTGTACCGAACCAGTGAGTTTTCCAGGTGCTCCATCATTTCATTTCAAGAGCTCTGTACTCTCTCCGCTGATGTCTGTGCGGATGAGAGCACGCTGTGCATGGCTCTCCTGCAGCTGCAGAGGGACAAGCAAGTGACGGTTTCATTGCACGAAGGAGAGAAGGTAAACAAACTGCTCATTCAAAAGAGAGAGAAAGCCTGTTGAGAGATCCTGTGCTGGTTGGTTTCATGTGTTAAGTGTCAACTGTTCTCATGTGTCTTCTTTACAGATTGTCAAGTTTTGTCAGGCTGGGCAAGATCACATTTCTCAAGTCAGCGATGTGGATATGGGCATCTACAAGCTGCAGCGCAGTCAGAAGCTTCTGGAAGAGCGGGTGGAGAAACTGGGCCTTGAGGCAGACAAGTACATCAAATCAAATATGAAATAGATAAAAAAATGATTGATTCATTAATGACCGAAACATTTTACTATTATTTTACACAATGACATAGGATTTGTTATTTAGTCAAAACGTGCTCCAAGTGTGTGATAAACCCATTATTATGTTTTTTCCAGCCATTGAGCTCATCAGAAGGACTGCATTGCATTTAAATGATGATCACTTCTAAAGCTTTGCCTGATCTGTGTGCAGGTGCAAAGAGGAAGCAAGGCTACTGCTGAAAGAAGGAAAGAAATCACAGGTACTAATAACATTTAAGAGAAACAAATATAATCTGTGCAAACATATGTAATGGCCCTGTGTTCAGTGGTAATATTTACTGTCTATCCCACAGGCACTGAGGTGTTTAAGAGGACGTAAGAGGGTAGAAAAGAGAGCCGAGAGCTTGTTTGCCAAACTGGAGTCCATCAGAGGAATCCTGGACAGAATAGCTCAGTCACAGACTGATAAGATGGTAAGAGGGAGAATTCACATCAACCCTTTCTGTGATGTTATCTGTACGTTAGTTATTAGTGGCTCTGCATGTTTAACGCTGAGCAGGCGCAGTCTGTACACCATTTAAAACGTATCCCAGCAAATTCCCTCTGCTCAATTCATGTGGTGAATGCAGCTTGTACACGTTCCTGGACTACATGAATACTGCATGCCATTACAACTGAATTTGTGAATACCATATAATATAGGCCTACTTCACACATATCGGAGCATCTATCGAGTGATTCCTGACAGGCCTTTTAATTTTTTAACAGTTGATGATACAATACAACGCTGACTGATCCATGCTTTGTTAAATTGGTGATGCCTCCTCCTGCTCATTTAAGAGATATGTTCCTTATTGCTGCTCCTCATAACTTCTGTTCAGATTGTCCCCTGGCTCTAGGACATGGAGCGCAGCTAGTATCATGTGTAAAGGTGTGCTGAACATGTTTGTAGGTGATTCAAGCATATCAGGCCGGAGTGTCCGCCCTGAGACTGTCTCTGAAGGATGTGACTGTGGAGCGGGCTGAGAGCCTCGTGGATCAAATTCAGGAGGTACAGTAGCTGGTTATTTAAAGGCAATACATTATTTGTATTTTATTACTTCAACAACTTTCAATGCATCTTTTCCATGATTCAACCAGTTATGTGACACTCAAGATGAGGTGAACCAAACGATATCCAGCGTGGCCAGCGCAGGTATGCCATACTGTTTGTGCCTGATCTTTAATACATTGTTTATATGATTGTCAAGGAGATCTAAGTTTGTTGTGTCTTTTCTTTTTGTAGATGAAGACATAGATGAGTTGGAGGAGGAACTAAAATCTTTGATAGCTGAGTCAAAGCCGGATAGTATCTCAAGGTTCCCTGAGGTTCCAACCAACGTCCTGGGACCCCCCGGGGAGCACAGCCTCGGGGGGTCCGACCTGCTCAGCTCTCTGCCTGCGGTGCCTTACAGCCCCCTGGATATTACCGATGAGCAGCTGGAGGAAGAATTAAATAACCTCACAGATTCAGGTATCCACTTTCAGATTTCTCAGTTTTTCTTCATTGGACTTTGATATGAATGTTTTGAAGTAACATATGGTCACCTCTCTGTCCAGGCTTTGAACAGGAGAAGAAGACGTCTCCAGCCAGGAGATTAGAGCCTGCTCAGTGACGACACGGACAGAACATGGCAAGTTTAAAGCTCGACGTCAACATATCGAACTCTATCTCTTAAGACGTTTCTGTGAGCCAGGGTTCATAGAATGAGATAAAGTAATGAAAAACTACATAAGCAATTGCTAAATCTTAACTGTAAGAGCTGTTAAATAAATATATCAGGATGAAAACAAGGCACTTTCCTGAGTTAATGAACATACAAATGCCTTTTCTTTGGAGGCATGCCAAAAAGAAATGCTTTTCAACTTGGAAGTTCAAAAGTGAACATTTTAACAGTTTAAGATATTCTTTTTGGTATGCCACCACGAGGAATGCTTTTAAGTTTGCGGTATTTTTGACAAGAGTGTGAACCAGTATATTTGTGGTTTGTGATGTGTGTTTATTGATGTCTTTAAACGTCCCTCATTGACTAATTGTGAAGTGTATTAAGTGGCCTTTGTACATGTTAAACTGAAAGTAAAGAGAATATAATGCCAAATGATTAAACAAACAAGTATGTGTGGACTGAGAACTAAGTGAGTTTAACCAAATATGTTTCTCAAAAATAAAATGTATTTTAATCACTTCTGTGTTAGTGGTATTTATTTTTTCAACCAAGCAAAAGCAGTTGTATTTTTACAACTAACCTGGAACCTGGATTTAAATAGCAGACAACCTGCATACGACTTAGAGGAGTGTTTTCACTCAATGTTACTTCAGGGTTCGTACGGGTGCTGGAAATCCTTGAAAGTGCTTGAAATTTCATGTGGTGTTTTCAAGGTTTGAAAAGTGCTTGGATTTTGGATAAAGTGCTTGAAATTGTACTTGCTTTACTTTTATAATAAATTGCTGTCTGACTGAATAGTTAGCTTTTTTCGATAAAAAAAAGAGAAAGAAGTCGGAGCGAGCTTAATTACTTTTCATAAAAAGACAGCTCCACTCCTTTATACATATTTTGACATTTGAATCCTTCTTTTTTTCAGTTGCAGATATTCCGTTTTCGGATTCCAAACAATTATTTTTTCAGTTTCAAATCTTGTTTTTTCAGGTTTCACCGTTTTTTTTCGCTCTCAAACTTTTGGCCCTGATGCTGCTTGGGGGGGCGGGGCTTACCAAAGAGTAGTTTTGCATCCTGAGTGACAGCCCTCCCTCTGCCATGTTGCCTTCATGGAAGGTAGCGCGAGAAATATACCTCAACACTTTATATACACAATACTCCCGTGATTGGTGGGAAACCAAACTGATACCAGCGTCAAAGTTCCGTTAAGCGAGCTGTTGAGCATCGTAGTTCAGAATCAAATCAGAATCAGAAAACCTTTATTAGTCCCACAGAGGGGACATTTACGTTGTTACAGCAGAAAAGAGCCACTGACAGCTTAATGTTACATATGTTACATGCAAAAAAAACTATTTAAAGTAAAAAAAAAATTATACAATTTACAAACTACAAACGTTTTTAACGGCATATATATATACATATATATATATATATATATATATATATATATATATATATATATATAGATATATATATAGATATATATATAGATATATATAATATATATATATATTATATATAGATCTATATATATATATAGATATATATATATATATATATATATATATATATATATATATATATCTAATATATATATACATACATACATACATACATACATACATACAGGGTTGGGTGAAGTGTTTTGCCCAAAATACCAAAAATACCTCATCTGCACTTTTCCCCATAAAAATGAATTGTAATCAATACTTTTAGATTTAAATGGTTTATTGTATCATGGGTCTCTGAAACAATCAGACTTTTACCACACTGTTATCAGACTGTTATCAGACTTTTAGCACTCTTTTCCCCGCAGAAACGACTTTAAACCATAAGTGTCACTATTGTGGGGATGTAGGAATGTACCTGTGTCTGGTGCGGAGCCTCCCTGCACTTTAAATCAATTGATTTGCCTTTATTTATCGTATTTTCTACTGTTAATGCACTGTGCTCATGTCGGGTGATGCGCTCCCTGGAGCCCTCCTGTGGGGAAACTTGGAACTGCAAAGCCATTTAAAATAGTTGTTCTCACTTTTAAAATACTTTCTGCCCTAGAAATGATTTTTAATCAGTATTACCATTATTTAGGGGCTGCATGAACACGAATTTGAGCATCCCTGCACACTTTCCTCCTATTTAAAACACTTTTCAGTGAGGTGCTGCAGCCTGATTCTCTCCTTTTTCTCTGTCCCTATTTAAAACACTTTTCCTCCTATTTAAAACACTTGCTAGAGGTGAAATCTCTATTTCAGCCCTGATTCTGGCACATCTTGTAAATTAGTTACATTTAGCCTTGTGTTTTTATTTAAGTCGCTGTTCATTGTTTGTTATATAAAGCAGATTTAATTATATCCTATGGACGCTGATGTGTGGATATTGTGTCCTTTTGATAACTTTGTTGAGCTTGTTTTTAGCTGCATGTCTTTTTCTATCTCACTGAACAAAGTCCCTGTATGTGAACTGCTTCAGCTGGTGAGGCTGGTTATGAATCAGAGGGAGGAGCTGCAGACAGGGAGGGAAGTTGAAAGTGAAAGTAGGAAGTCAGACTGCCAGACGCCATTTTACAGCTCGACAGGAGGAGAACAACAGGGTGAGTGTTAAAGGGCCCATGTCATGCTTTTCCGGTTATTACCCGTCCCCTTGTGTGTTATGAAGGTTTTTATGCATGTAAACGGTGTGCAGAGTCACAAACCCTCAAAGTACACCCTGTAGGGAGTAAAACTCTACCTCCCCAAAACGCCTCGTTGGAGATACGTCATTGTCCATTTGATTCTTCCATTTCGTTCCAAATTGACCAATCCACGGACTTCCTCACACACACATCTGTGTGCAGGGAGCAGGCAGCTCAGCTGATTTCTCCTCCCTGGCTGCAGGCTGATAACAGACAGTTGGGATCGCGGCAAAATTCTCTCTGCAGACCCATTCTCACAGCGTTTATCAACCTTTTTCTTACTCAATATCAAGCCACACTTATTGTTTTTACTTCGGCTGTGACTTTGTGTGTGCTCAGGATGAGTTTGGCTGTGTTTGGCTGTGTATCGCTAACAAGGAAACAACACCTCCACGGAGCTCAGCGCGATTCACAACGTCCCGACCAATCAGAGCACACTGTGCTCACAGGGAGGGTGGGGGCTGGAGCTATTGGAGCTGCAACGAGCCGTTAAAGGCAGAGAGTGAAATTCAGTGAATACACGTAGTTTACAGAGATGCTGTATGAGAAACCAATGTGAGTTTGGAAAATTGCACAATATAAATCTATTCTAGTAGACCTCAACAATGGAATTATGATCAGTGGAAATGGCCATGACATGGGCCCTTTAACACATGTATTATTTACTCTGTCAAACTGGATGTCAGAAAATAACTTATTGGTTAACAATCTGCGTCCTAGAGTCCAATGAGACTTCTGCAAGTGTTGTACACTTTTATTATTTCCTGTTTTCTGATTCATCAGAGTTACATAACATGTGACAGCCCAGCGCAGTCAAAATGGAGAGCCGCCTGTCTGAAGTCTGACTGATTTCATGTATTTTAACCAAGTTTATTAAGGTGTGTGTGTGTGTGTGTGTGTGTGTGTGTGTGTGTGTGTGTGTGTGTGTGTGTGTGTGTGTGTGTGTGTGTGTGTGTGTGTGTGTGTGTGTGTGTGTGTGTGGTGTGTGTGTGTGTGTTGGTGTGTGTGTGTGTGTGTTGTGTGTGTGTGTGTGTCTCGCTCTCAGACTGGAGAAGATGAGTGATCTAAAAGATGAGGAAGAGGACAAATCTTCAGTCTCCAGCTGTCTGTCTCTGAAGAGTGACCGGTCTATGGGTCGTCCTCCAAACTTCAGTAATAAACCTGGACCCTCAGACACAAAGTAAGAGTTTCTACTGTAAACTGACCTGAAGAGGATTCAGTTTGTTGGTATCTGATAATCTAAACTGTTTAATGAAACCCAGTAGAGTACATTAACAAAGTTGAATTGATCTCTTGCTTCTTGTCATCATCAGAGATAGTAAATAATCTACTAGTGAAATCATCCTCACACTCTACATGTTGGACTTTGTGTTAAATTAAGCAAATAAAATACAAATATGTAAAACGTTTCACACTCTAATAGAAACCCACAATCACGACTCAACAACTCTAAAAAATCTTTAATAAGGTGAACAGTCATAGATCAAAAGCGGCTCTTTAAATAAACTAATGATGTTTAAAACATGTGTTGTTTCCACAGACAGAGAGCAGAGTCTACGGTCTCCATGTGGTCTCTGAAGAGTGACTGGTCTATGAGTGAACCTCTATGGTTCAGTAATGAACCTGGACCCTCAGACACAAAGTAAGAGTTTCTACTGTAAACTGACCTGAAGAGGATCCAGTTTTGATGTAATCTAATATATTAAACTGTTCTTTAATTAAATCATGTGAGCAGTTTGTAAAGGGAAAACGCAGCAGAGTACAGTAAGCTAACATTATCTAAGGATATTTCAATATGCAATTATATTATCATTGTATCTGTGTATAAAATGGTTTTAAATAGCAACAATATTGATAAATACTGATTTAAAAACTATATATATTGTCCAAAACATTATTTAACTACTTGGGCATATCTATGATATGTCTTTTTTAGGGCTGTCAAGTTAACGCGTTAATAACGCGTTAACGCAAAAAAAGATTAACGCCACTAATTATTTTAACGCGATTAACGCATGTGTATTTTTTGTCCTCGGCCGCCGTAGTTTCAGAGCGCATCGAGTGTAAAATACCATCTACAAGCTGATGCTGACAGCCCCGCTCCTGCTGCCCGCTTGTGGCAGACCACACTTCCACGTTCACCGGCAGGCCCGGACTGGCCATCGGGAGGACCGGGAGGGTGTGTGTATGTGTGGCGCGAGCGAAGCACACCTTACGTGTTGTTGTTAGCATCTGGTGCTAGCTAGCTGAGCTAACGGATATAAGGAGCTGTTTCAATGAAAACAGAGGAGCGACATTTCGCCGACAACTGCGCCGAGCACTTGACTTTATGCAGGGAGCCAGACAGCACACTCAGCACGGATAGTGCGCGCAACACAGCTCATACACACAGGCATATATGCCTTGAGCTGCACATAGCTCCAAACACACACAACAACACACACACACACACACCCAACACCACACACACACACACACACACCACACACACCACCACACACACACACACCACACACACACACACACACACACACACACACACACAACACAACACACACACACACACACACACACACACACACACAACACACACACACACACACACAGTATTGTATTAATTGTATGAGAGAGGTTCTAGGTTGAATTGAGGCGAATATTTGTAATGTTCAGAGGTTGTTGTGTTTAATATTCATGAGAATATTTGTCATTGTTCAAATGATAATAAACAAACATATAAAGCATAGTTGTCCACTCATATGTTGATAAGAGTATTAAAAACTTGAAAAATATCCCTCTAAGGTACATTTAGAACAGATAAAAAATGTGCGATTAATTTGCGATTAATCGCGATTAACTATGGACAATCATGCGATTAATCGCGATTAAATATTTTAATCGACTGACAGCCCTAGTCTTTTTAAGATGTTTATTAATAATAGTGATAACCTGGTGAGCTGGTTGTGTTTAGCATTAGCAGATAAAACAGAGTTTTGTGAAATCACATGTAGAGTCAATGCAAAGACCCAGATCCGTGCCTGGCAACACGAAGGAAGTGAAGATGTTAAATTCATGTCACCTGCGTATTCGTGCAGCGTGACACATTTCAACTTGAGTGTAAAGTTTGTGACGCTCTGTTACAAAAACGTGTCAGTGTTGAGATTGTGCTCCTGTGGTCTCTGACGGTCTGAGGGGAATCAGAGAGGAGAACAGAGCTCGACAGCAGCTCATATTAAATCAGGGTTATTAATGTTCCTGTATAAACCAGAGACTGTCTGTGGTGCTAACAATATAGTGACTGCTGTAGCCTACTTATGACTTCATGAAGTTACTCTGAGTGTTGATGGAGCAGCTAATGTTAGCCTAGCTTTAATCAAACCGATCTCTTCAGAAAAAAATATTTAAAAAATGTTATGCTCATTGTGTTGGAGACAGACCTGACAAAGCATTAACTCAGGCTTTTTACAAATCAATATCATTCTGTTGTTATTTAGGCATCCTTTCCATATGTTTATTTCTATGAATTCACAGCAGATTCTATGCAAGTTGGGTTTATAGTGTACCAGGTTAATACAGCTGTGTGTGTAGATACAGGGAACATGTGCTCCTCTGGGTGATGAATCCAGACAGGATGCTCTTTGGTTTTATGATCATGTGAATTGTAAGCTATCTACCTGATCACAAGGGTATATATTATATAGACCTTTTTTAAAATATCAAACTAGAATGTGCCCCCTTGTTGTACCTTTGGTGAGAATCAGCCCCTCTGAAGTAAAGTGCTATAAAGGATGTGTTCCTCTCCACAGAGGGAAGAGGAAGAGTGGTGTTCCTGTGGAGGAGCAGCTGTCCAGCTGTGCTCTGTGTCAGGACGTCCTGAAGGATCCAGTCTCTACCAGCTGTGGACACTTGTTCTGCAGACAGTGCATCACCTCATACTGGGAGCAGAGACCTCCATCAGGAGACCCCTCCTGTCCCCAGTGTGGAGAAAGATCCAGAACCAGAGCTGGCCTGCAGACAGCCAGTCAGACCAGCTCTGTACGAAGTAAGAGGCCGAACTCATGCAGCGTCTTATTCCTCTTCCTGGTTCATTTGTTTTTTTTATTAGGTATTATGTTGAAGAACATAGACATTAAAATGCTTATAAAACATTTAAACTTAGTCTGTTTTTATTAGTTTTATTGTTATATTCTCAAAAGCATTTTCTGATTCTCTCCTGTTTCCTTCTCTTTCAGCAGATAGTGGTCTGCAGGAGGTTTTAGATGAACATAGGCTCAGTCTGAGGAGGAGATGTGAACGTGTGACTGAAGGAACTGATCAAAGTGAAACCCTCCTCAACAGGATCTTCACTGAGCTCTACATCACACAAGGACAGAGTGAAGAGGTTAATACCCAACATGAGGTGAGGCAGCTGGAGACAGCTTCCAAGAAGAAGCCCCTCCATGACACTCCAATCAAGTGCCAGGACATCTTTAAAGCCTTACCTGACCAACAGACTCTCATCAGAGCGGTCCTGACCAACGGAGTCGCTGGAGTTGGAAAAACCTTCTCAGTGCAGAAGTTCACTCTGGACTGGGCCGAGGGTTTGGAAAACCAAGATGTCAGTCTGGTGATCCCGCTCTCCTTCAGGGAGCTGAACCTGATCAAAGGTGAGCAGTACAGTCTTCTCAGGCTGCTCCATGTTTTCCATCCAACCTTACAGAAGGTCACAGCAGAGCAGCTGGCTGTCTGCAAAGTGCTGCTCATCTTTGACGGCCTGGATGAAAGCAGACTTTCTCTGGATTTCAGAAACAATGAGGTTGTGTCTGATGTCTCACAGCAGTCCTCAGTCAACGTGCTGCTGACAAACCTCATCAGGGGGAAGCTGCTTCCCTCGGCTCTCGTCTGGATAACTTCCAGACCTGCAGCAGCCAATCGGATCCCTCCTGAGTGTGTGGACAGGGTAACAGAAGTACGAGGCTTCACTGACGCCCAGAAGGAGGAGTACTTCAGGAGGAGATCGAGTGATGAAGACCTGTCCAGCAGAATCATCTCTCACATCAAGAGCTCCAGGAGCCTCCACATCATGTGTCTGATCCCAGTCTTCTGCTGGATCACTGCTGCAGTTCTGGACCACATGTTGACTACAGACCAGAGAGGAGAGCTGCCCAAGACCCTCACTGACATGTACTCACACTTCCTGCTGGTCCAGACCAAGAGGAAGAAGCAGAAGTATGAAGAGGGACATGAGAGGAGTCCACGGCAGCTGACGGAGGCTGACAGGGAGGTTCTTCTGAAGCTGGGGAGGCTGGCGTTTGAACATCTGGAGAAAGGACACATCATGTTCTACCAAGAAGACCTGGAGCGCTGTGGTCTTGATGTCACCGAGGCCTTGGTGCACTCAGGAGTTTGTACAGAGATCTTCAAAAGAGAGAGAGTGATCTTCCAGAAAACAGTCTACTGCTTTGTTCATCTGAGCATTCAGGAGTTTCTGGCTGCAGTGTACATGTTCCACTGTTACACCAACAGAGACACAGCGGTACTGAAGGACTTCCTGAAGAGAGACTGGGACTATGAGAACAGTAACAGCAGTGATCAGGAGTACCCATCCCTGGATTTCTTCCTAAAAGGAGCCATGGCGAAATCCCTCAGAAGTGAAAATGGCCACCTGGACCTGTTTGTCCGCTTTCTCCACGGCCTCTCTCTGGAGTCCAACCAGAGACTGTTAGGAGGCCTGCTGGGTCGCACAGACAAGCGTCCAAAAATCATCCAGAGACTCTTCAAAGGCCAGCTGGGTCGCACAAACCATCCAGAAATCATCCAGAGAGCCATCAACAACCTGAAGGAGATGAACAGTGATAATATCTCTCCTGACAGGACCATCAACATCTTCCACTGTCTGACAGAGATGAAGGACCACTCAGTACATCAGGAGATCACAGAGTTCCTGAAGTCAGAGAACAGATCAGAGAGACTCTCTGAGATCCACTGCTCTGCACTGGCCTACATGCTGCAGATGTCAGAGGAGGTTCTGGATGAGTTGGACCTGGAGAAGTACAACACATCAGCTGAGGGAAAACAGAGACTGATTCCAGCTGTGAGGAACTGCAGGAAGGCCAAGTAAGTCCAGATTAACTTCATAAACTAATGTGGATCAGAAGTTTAATTATTCAAATAAACACTATAACATTTCTGCTGTTTAAATACTGAGAGAGCAAAATAAACCAACACTTTTCTTCTATTTATTTATAATAATAGTTAAACTGAACCGTTTCTCTCTTCATATTGAGTGATGGAGGCAACATGTCAAACACACGAAGGACTTTAGAGCTTTCTCAGCATGTGATCACACCACACAGCAGGACTTACAGTTATCTGTTATTATTACTTTCTAGTAGTTTCTTTATCATTAAACACACACACGTTTTTATCACAATGTTTTAGAGTTTAAAATAAGATCTATATCATATCCCACCAATACCAGAGTTATGTCTTAATACTCATATAGTGAGAACATCTGATGGTATTCAGTTTAAAATATTGAAACTTTATTGGTTTGTTAACTGTGTTTGTATGCACAATACATTTCCAGATGCTCAGAGAAGCCAAAACATCCATCATTCACATCCAAATATGAATTAACATTTAAATATGTACATCTCTAATATTGTCAAGTGATTTATTTAATTTCTGTTTCTATGGTAACAGTCAGTGACAGCAGGAGCACAGACATGTGCATTACATTACACTCTATTATCATATATTATTATATATAAAATGGACTAACAGCAAATCTCAATCAGAACATATGTTAAATCTTTTTTTCATCAAATGCTTGAGGTCATTATGTTTCCTCTTTTTTAACACATGTTGTAATATATGTGTTATTATAGACTTATCAGCTGTGGACTCTCAGAGACTCACTATGAAGTCGTGGCCTCAGCTCTGAAGTCTGACCCCTCCCATCTGAGAGATCTGAACCTGAGTGGCAGCACTCTGGAGGCTTCAGGAGTGGAGCTGCTGAGCTCTGGACTAAAGAGTCCAAACTGCAGACTGGAGACTCTCAGGTCAGTTCACTGACTGAACTTCATCTGTTTGTATTTATCATTTTCTGAATTTGAAAAAAATACATTAAAATTATTTTTCCATTTTTGCTAAAGACTGAATATTGATCAGAATAACAAAGAGAAAGTGAATGTGTGAGGGAGAGAGTTTGAGCTTCCACAGACTCACTCTGTGCTCCATGAGTCAGTGGGTATGCTGTCAGTACTGAGGAGCTGTGAGGGAGATGAAGGAGTTGTTAAACATCTGATCAAAGTTAAAGTTCCAGATTATCAATGGATTGTTTCTACATCATCTCTGACATTAAAGGTCTCCTATCATGCACAAGTCACTTTCTGATGTCTTTTCTACATCACCATGTGTCCCCGGTGTCAGGAGACTCACAAAGTGTCAGGAAACAAAACCCTCTGTCTTTTCCTCCGTACCCACATCTCTAAAAACGGGGGAACAACGGGCAGGCTTTACACCAACGGGCCAATCAGAAACGTTGCTGTCAGAAACAATGAGACATGTTCTGGAAGTAATATGGTCTGTGTTCACATTAGCATGCTAACACTCAGAGCTAACCTGTACTGGAGAGAGCATGTGTGTAAAGAAGCAGGAAATAAAAAGGAACTGTAAATTGCCATTTACATGAGGATGTGACTAGCAGTTATAGTTATATTATATATTATCATTATGTCAGTGGTCTAAAATGGTCATACAACGGTGCCGACAATATTATCGTTTATCGCAATAATTTCCGGGAAAATGTATCCAACAAAATTAATTATCGTGAGAGGCCTATACATGAAACACACACACACAAACAAATCTACAGACTTACTCCAAACTGCCAAATATATTAATTAACACACTCTCACTCTGATATACTCTTTGACTCTATTTTGGCCTAGTAGAACCAGGGCCGTATCCAGGATTTCCTAAATACCGAGGTCCAAACATGCTAGGGGGGTTCGGGGGTATACTCCCCCGAGATTTCTGGGATTTTCATGATCTAGTTAGGTGCTTTTTAAGTCCTGTGGGGGGGTCACAAATTGGATAATATATCGATTTCAAACCATGTCAGTAGGCTGCAGCATAAATGATTTTGAATCAGTTAATTGTTACTATTAATGATCTGGACATGCAGAAGAAGCTAAAATGATCACAAAACATTGTCAACATTCATTTTCCATGTCTCTCTCCTTTCCATAACCTGCCCCCTCTCTTCCATCTTCTTTAGTCTCTCTGTCCTCTAATCTTTCTCTCTGTTCAATCTCTCCCTCGTTGTTCACTTTTTGCTCACTCCTGTCGCTCCTGCCAGTGAATTAAAAGCAATTCAGCAATTTAGTTCATTTCACTTGTTTGTTTGCATTTTTCTTTTTTAAATCTGTTTTGTTTGATTCTCAAAAGAGAACAAAGATGTAAGCAAATTGTGTTTTATACAATTGTATGTTATTATGACATCATAACTGCAATATATGTAAATTGTTTTAAAAATGATGCATATTGTCTATTTTGTAAATGAAGACTAAGTTATAGATAGATAGATGGATAGATAGATAGATAGATGAATGGATAGATAGATAGATGAATGGATAGATAGATAGATAGATAGATAGATAGATAGATAGATAGATAGATAGTTGGATAGATAGATAGATAGATGGATAAATAAATAGATGGATAGATAAATAGATAGATAGATAGATGGGGTTATTAAGCCTACATTATTTTTGTGTGACTGTACCTGCAGTTCCTCCCTGACTTCCATCACTTTCTCTCTCTCTCTTTCTCTCTGCCTGTCCTGTCTCTTCCTTACCAAAGCTGAGCTTCGACTGACGTAGTCTTTTCATTATATCTGAGTCAGTGTAAAAAGAAAACAATACAATGTTATATCTTCAATGTTTTACTCAAATTGAAATGAAAGAAAAGCATTACAACGTTTGTTAAAAGGTAATCCTTCTGACATTGGATGAATGTAATTAACTTTAGCTCTCTAGCTAGTTTATTCACGCAATGTAAATCAAAGTATAGCCTGTAGCTGCAATATAAGTTAGTGTGCATGTTGTCGGACGTCCACTGACTAACGTAGAGTGTTCACATAGGATCTGCTGGACATATGATGTCCTGATGAACAGAAACACAAGCAGCCCACTGGACTCAGATCTCTAGATACCTCATCACTCCTCCGCTGCTCCGATACAAGTCCGGGCTGCGGTGGTTTGTTGATATATGTCGTCTTCTTCTGTTTGCTTTAATCGAGGCTACGTAGTTATGCAGCGCCCCCATCGTCAGTAAATGGAAGTACTACAAATAATGCTGTCAACTCAACATTGTAAATAACCAGCCAAAAACGATCGCCGGTTCATCTTGTTTTTGGTGTGAGAATAGTTTGGGCAGCGTGAGAGCGTGAGATTGAGAGTGAAAGCGTGTGTCACACGCCAGATGCGTGAGAGTTGGCAACCCTGAGCATTTAGCTGAGTTTCTGCTGGTAGAATTCTGATCAGGCATTAGCTCCACCTCCTTTTTTTATTTTTTCAAGCTAAGGACCCGAACCTGCTCTTCTCTAACAGCTGGAACAGAGGGATATAAGGGATGTCTAAAATGCATGATCTGTTTGGTATTTTGAGCAAAACACATCATAGACATGTTTTTTATATATTTGTATATATCTGAGACCCATAATATATGCCTAAAAATAGCATAATAGGAGACCTTTAAAACCCTGTTTAACTCTGAACAGATTATTAAACCTGGAGTTATTTCAAACAGGAACATTGTTTTCTAAAGTTACATCATGTTTTCTTTATTCAGACTGGAGCTTTGCAGGTTGTCAGAGATCAGCTGTTCTGCTCTGGCCTCAGCTCTGAAGTCCAACATCCATCTGAGGTATCTGGACCTGGGTTACAACGCTCTGAAGGATTCAGGAGTGAAGCTGCTGAGAGATCTTCTGGAGAGTCCAGACTGCAGACTGCAGACTCTCAGGTCAGTTCACTGACTCTCTGTTACTGCTGGAGATCTCATGTTTCATTAGTTATTCAACCTGATTCTTCTACATAATTAACTTACATCCATTAAGTTGTAAATGTTGTTTTATTCATACTTTCATTTGTAGGTACTAAAGTAAGAACTGCAGAGATACATGTTGACTGATTCTTAAAGGAACTGTAATAGATGTTAGTTGTAAAAAGTAAATCTATGTTTTTAATATTTAGTAAACGATAACTTCTGAATAAAGTTCATCTGAAGTCATATTAGTTTTACAGGATAAAGTTGACTTTCTGAAGAAGACATATGTTTTTGTTCCCATTCATTTCAATGTTGAGTAACACATCTGATTATAAACAGATTGTTATCCTCATCATGTTTTCTTTATTCAGTCTGAGGCACTGCAGTTTGTCAGAGATCAGCTGTTCTGCTCTGGCCTCAGCTCTGAAGTCCAACATCCATCTGAGAGAGCTGAACCTGAGTCAGAACGATCTGCAGGATTCAGGAGAGAAGCTGCTGAGAGATCTTCTGGAGAGTCCAGACTGCAGACTGGAGACTCTCAGGTCAGTAAGGGGTCTCTGCTGGTTCAGCAGTATTGTATGAACCACAGGGAGGTGTTTCTCTCACTGGGGAAACGGATCAGTGATGTTACCCACTGACTGCAGGCTCTTTCATTCTTCCATCAACTATATAAGGCCAGCTGAAAATGCAAAGCCACACTTTAGTAATCAACTCTCTAACAGACATATGGGGTTTTACAGAAGAGTGGGAAAGGTAGTCTGTTCTTATGGGATGTTTTTAGTTTCTAGCCCAGGGGTGTCCAAACTGCGGCCCTCGGAATCGACCCTCAGCAAATTCTGAAAGTATAATGGAATATGGCCCACAAATGAAACTTCTGCTTGTCTTGTATTGTACTTCTTAAATATATATGTACACATATATTACACAGTAGTATTCATGTGTTAATAATCCAACCTTTAAAATAAATTCAGTCAATTAAAGCTGAAAACATTTCCTAACAAATCTAACTTGATAAGAAAAAAGCCCAATAACTTATTGTTATAACAAGCGTGAAATAAACCCTTCATACTTCCTGTAATTATAATCAATCTGAAGCTCCTGCTTTAAGGAATGAGCTGCTAACAGAATAAAGTAAACCCTCTGGAGAGCTGAGAGCTGTTTTGTTTCTTAAAGCATCTTCAAGTAACAAGCATCCTTTACCTTCATTTGATTGAGTTTTCTGACTTATAACTGAACTTATGAGGCAACATACCTCTAGAGAGCGGCCCAGACCTTTATATATTTTTCTGTATGTGGCCCTCGGTGAAAAAAGTTTGGACCCCCCTGTTCTAGACCAATGACTGGTTACTTCCTGTAATGCAGCTGAGAGCTGTGGCAGGCAGTCGTAGTGTTTGCAGAGAAGATATGATGGGATGTAAAGCATGAGATCAGGACTCTGAAGCTGACTCAAAGAACTCTTATTTAAAACTGGATCTTAAACTGTTGGATTGTGTTCGTCTCTACAGGATCGGATATAATGATGAGACGATCAGAGCCACGATCCAGAAGAAGCTGCCGGGTCCCGCATGAGCTCAGCCCCCTCCTTTTTATTTTTTTATCAATTTATTTTAAAGCTTTATACCCCAAATTAGCACTTTTGAAACAGGAAGTGAAATAGAGGGATATGAGGCATGGCTAGAATGGGTGATCTGTTTGGTATTTTGAGCAAAACACTTCATAGATATGTTTTTTATATATTTGTATATATCTGAGACCTATGCTATTGCCTAAAAATAGCATGATAGCTGCACTTTAAGTTTGAACATGTTTGATAACAGAAGTATTATTATTTATTGCCTAGGTGGACCAGATAATAATAAACTGCATGCTGTCAAATAGAGTTAAAGTAGCTTTACTGATTTCAAGCACAGCCTCTATAGCCTATGGCTAAAACTTGAAAAATATATGAAAGTCTTGTTCCACATATAATCAATTAAATGGGGTAGAATAAACAGCTTTGGTACAAAATCGTGACAATCTTTGTGCAAAATATCTTTGTATTAAGACTGTGAATTAGACCAAAATGAATACACAAAAAACATTATTTTAGCTGTGGCAGAACAGAGGATTACATTGAAACCAGATGTTTGTTAATATGTAGGCTTGTTTAGAGGCAGAGAACATTAACATGTAATCTGGTACAGAACTGAATTTAATTGAAATGGGTTTGGATTTCATTGATGCATTACAAATCCATTCTAGGTATGTTATTATAAGAGATGTTTAAATGTTTTTTACTGTTTAAATGTTTCTTACTTTTTAAATCAGGTAATTGTGTCTTCAGCAATCATTATTTGTTTTAGTTTTTTAAAGAGTCTAGCAGTATTTTTGTTATCACATGTTCAATCCTTTTAGGCCCAGATGCAAGGCATTTGTGTGTGACTGTTGGGGAAAATACAAGTTGTCTTCTTACTACTATGGGTTTTCTGATGGGCATGATACTGTGTGTGACTTTGCACAGTGTGACCTTGCAGCTGCCTCCTCGTAGATAGGAGAAGGCAGGGCATAATTCATGTTGTTGATATCAACGAGAGGACACATACGTTGTCTCCTCTCCTCTTTGAGGGGCAAAGAGCAACATTGCTTTTCCAGAGATGTCCCGACACCTGCTGACACCAAACCGATTTACGACCCTGTTTGGTACCTCCTGACTTTAGACTATATAAGCTTGATGTTACTTCCTGCTCCTTTGAGCAGCATACCTCATGTGTGTGAGTTGAACCATATCCTTTGTATGTGACTTAACTCTGCTCCTTCTTGCAAGAATAAATTAGTACCTGATTATTGATTCTCAACCCGGTGTCGAGTGAATGTAAAATGTGACCCTTAATTGTTTTAAAGAGCTTATTAAGGAGATTAAAAATGTCCAAATAGTAAGTTATTGATAGGCATTTTTAAAACTTCTAGGTTTTTTTTATTAAAAAAAAAAATCCAAAGCTTAAATAATGTAGCACCTTGCAGGGTATTTGTGTTAATATGTCTGATGAAACTATGTTGTATTTTCCATGTTTCACCTTCACTCTTTACACAGCTTTTACTGTGATTCAAGGAGGACTCCTAGTGGCCAATAGTGATAGAACACACTTGTGTGTAGATAATGACATTGGTGGTCAATGTCAGTAAGATCATGATCTTAGGTTGTTGCTGTGACACAATAAGTAATATTATTGGTTTTTGAATTTGACAGTTAATCACTTTTCCCCTCCGTGATAAGCGGCTCTGGAATGCACTTTACTGAAACACTTCACTTTGCGATTTATATAACAATAACATAATGCAATGATGTTTATCTCGAGGCTCAACACCTTACTTACTAGGTCAAGTCAATACGCTCCTATCCTTAAAATTGTCCCACATCTGTACAAAAAGGAGCCAAGTCACCATTTAAAAAAAAGCATTGCTTTATTGTACGGATTCATGTTTACCTCAAGGACAAGTGATAATAATGTGAAAAGCTGGTTATTAGTTGATTATAATTACCGTCATCTTGGTGGTGCAGGATCTACTGTCAATATCTGAGGGTGCTTTTGTGTGCTCTATTAAACAATAAATTAAAAAAAGAATTCATTACAAATGTACAGCCTTTATAAAGTACAGGTAATAATATCACAAAATCCTATTACAGCAGTGTTTTCAAAAATGCCCTTGTATCACAAATTACATGAGTGGTTATTGTTTAAGCCAAAACTGAATTCTCTCAGTAGCCTTTAATGTCTCTCATTTAGACACACACTCACTCTTCTTACACACACACACACACACACACACACACAAATATTCGCCCTGCTCACCACTTTGTACTGCATGTACACATGTGCATCACTGCTGCAGGCTAACAAAAGAAAGGTGAAATTACAGCTCTTTCACCAGCAAATCTCCATTGCACATTTTTGCAGCTCGTACCTACAGTAACGGTAATATATCACCGATATCACAAGAAGATGAAAGACATTCGGGGAGTATTAGTTTAATAACTTCAGTTCTATCCTACGTAGCTGCAGACATCTGGGTATATAGTGTGTTGATATGTCCAGACTGTTGTGAAGCAGAGATATGTAAAGATAAATATGAGCCATGACTTCACTGCACAGCTTGTCTATGGTCGATCCGGTCGAGCAGGCACTGATGCAGATATTTGGCTGAGAATGTGTTGCACCGCATAAGACAAAATGAAGAGAAAATCAAAGGAAAAAATCAAGATGTGTATAGTACAATAAGAAACGTTTGGCATGCTTTATAGTAGTCACTTTCTAATGTATTATAAGAGAAAACAAGTCTTTATGGAATACCATGAACACAATTGAGTAGTTTGTTTCATATTGCAGTGTAAAAAGCAGGCTACACAGTGGGTCAGGCTCCATCCTGCAGTTGCAGTGTTATACAGTAGATGTGTTGCTGTGCATGTTAGCTTCGCAGTGTTAAACTGTCCTGTCGGTTCCCGAGCGCTTCCTCACGACCTTCTCGTCTTTGACCTGGTCCACTGCCAGAGTCTCCAGCTCTGCCTGCGGGGGGGCCATGGGAGAGGTGCTGTGGGAGATGCGGTGCGCCACACCGACATGAGCCCTGTACTGCCGGTCCCGGGCGGGGCTGTGGCGAGGGCTGGACGCAGCCCCCAGGGGAGTGAGGGGGGAGCGCTCAGAGGCAATGGGAGGGATAACGGCAGGTCGCTCCCGCACCTGTGGTTCTGGAGAGTCTCTCCCGGCCTGCAGGAAGGGTGTGGGGTCGGGCATGGCCTCTACCGTCTCCCGCATGACCATCCGCCTGCCGTCTGAGCTGAGCCGATACACCTCCGTCAGCTCTGGGTGAAGGGGCTGTGAGAGGCTCTTCTTCATGCGGCGCCGCGGGGTTTCAGGCTGCCTGTCTTTGGCCGGTGGAGGCGTGGGCTTGTAAGATGTGACTGGACTAACGTTGGGGCTGGCCTCAGATGAACTGCCGGCTAACAGCTTCTTCTTGGTGGCGTGAAGCTGCGAGGTCAGGTAAGCAATCGTGCTCGCTCTCTGTTCCAGCTCCCCGGACAAAACAGCCAGCTTGTGGCTCTTCATCTTGAGCTCCTCCAGGTACTTCTTCTCTCTCTCCTTGATGGTGTTTTCCAGGACGGAGATCATAGCGTTCTTCTGCTCAAGGTCCCTGAGCAGCTCTGTGTTCTCCTCCTCCTTCTTCTTCAGCTGGGCCTCCAGCTCCTCACATCTCCTTTGCAGCTCCTTGCAGCGGGCCTCACCGCTGTCTGGACACACATAACAACAACAAAAAACCGGTTAAAACTGGTGTTTGCGTGGTGTCTCACTTAAGTACACACAAATGAGTGCACACAATAAAAGAATAGAGACAGAGACATTTATATCCACTAGACTGGAGCAATCATTAGTACATTAA